CCTCGGTGCAGATAGACGCCCCAGTCGAACTCTTCTCTGTCGATGCCCTGGGCGCAAGACACTTCGTATGACGCCAAGTCGAGATCCTCAGATAGGCATGTCGGATAGCTGACGGTCGACGAGTCAGGACCGTAAGAACTTGATCGAGGAACGGAGATCGTGATGTAGAGAGAGCCGGGTTCAAGGGTTTTCAGCTCACGGCTAACGACTGAGCGCTTTTCTTTGAGCTCCATGGTTTATTTGTCAGGCTGAATTGCAAGGTGATGTCGACGAGAGCAATGAGATGAGCGCGCGTAGCCAATGCTCGTTCAGCTGATGCTTTGATTGATGGAGAGGAAGTTGCTGAGATTTTCGTGCTGTTATCTTCCTCTTCCTCTTCTTCTCTCTTGACTCGGTCAAAGTTTGAGTTCTTGGTTGAGCATGCTGAAGCGCGAACTGCCATAGCTGTTCTCTCAGCTGGCAAAGCCATGGTGGTTTGAAGTGCCAGCTGGTTGGCAGATGTCAAGGCATTCGATTCTGTTGTATTGAATCCGCCAAATCCGGCTGGCCTGTGACTTCAATGCGACGCATTCTCTCCAGCAAGCAGCTGTAAAAGCTGAGGCGCAAAACGTCGTCAGAATCCTTCTCGAGATTTATTCTCAGAAGTCAAAAAGCCGTGACGTTTTCTATTATCGTCATTAGCCGCGCTTCTTTACAACAGCAAACCAACCAAACAGCGTTACTTTTCTTTTTCCACTGGTCTTTTGACATACCTATCCATTTCCGAATAATTTTCCGGCTTGGATTCCTTTGATGCAACTTCACCTAGAATGGTGGTCCAAGCTGTTCCACAAAGCCAACAAAAAATATCTCGCCATTACTCTCGGCGCCCCTCAGCCGTCGAAATCCGATGGATTTCCCGCGGACTGCTCTGGGCCCTCTCGACTATTTAGCTTCCCAACGTTGTCTTATCAGCAAAATACGAATCCTCTTCATCGTTGTCCGGACCACGAGATTTCCCAGCCTCGCAACATCACTCGTGCGCTTAACGGCCCCTGGGATCCACGAAGTCCCGTTCGTACGTTCTCCGTAGTACCCGCAAAACCGCCGACGATATTAGCGGGGTCTTCTAAAGAGGTCACGCCAAAAGGATCGCCACTTTGGCCAAATATCTATCGCGTGTCATCCGGATTGTCTGCGATATCTCTGCATTGGCTCTTTTTTCTATAGACTTTTGCGCCGGCTTTTCTTCTCATCACCTCCCATCGTCCTGATCTCCTTGCGTGTCTCAAGTTTATCAGTCACTGTTTTGCGCTTTATCCTGTTTTTTGGTCACACCTGATTATAAGTGATCAACGGATATTTGCTTTTTTATAAAGCTCCAAGATCCGCATACGTCATAGAGGGCGAGAAAAAAGAACCCCTGATTTCCGTGTGAAAACCACTGCGGGGTACTACTTTTTGGAGAACGAAGCTCTGATCGCGGGGTCTTTTTTATTTTCCTCGATATCAAGTCCAGTTGCTATACTAGACGGTTCTTGTACACACAATTCTTATCACATCCAAAAAAACAAAGGAGAGGAAACATCACATCAAAAGGAAGAAACCTCCCCAAAAATGTCTGGTCCTGTCCCAGTCGCAAAGTCCCTGGAGGACATCTACCCCCCAACCGCCATTGCATCAGAGATTCCGCGATGGAACAACCTGCTCGCCAAGTTCGAAAAGGAGTTTGGCCACCCGGCTGAATTCATCTCGCGATCACCCGGCAGAGTCAACATCATCGGCGAGCACATCGACTACTCGCTGTACTCGGTGCTGCCCATGGCCATCACCGCCGACGCCATCATCGCCGTCTCGACAAAGCCCGCCGCCGCAGACGCAACGACGTTCAAGGTCTCCGTGCGCAACGTCCAGGACGGCAAGTTCGCCCCCGGGGAGTTTGACGTGCCGATCGGCAGCGAGGTCGAGATTGATTCCACAAAGTTCGAGTGGACAAACTACTTCAAGAGCGGGCTTCGCGGCGCCCTGGGCCTCCTGTACCGCAAGAAAGGGGCCGACTTCCGCCCCTGCGACATGGAAGTGCTTATGGACGGCAACGTTCCCGTTGGCGGAGGGCTGAGCTCAAGCGCCGCCTTTGTCACCGCCAGTGCTCTGGCCGTCATGGCCGCCAATGGCGAGAGCACAGTGGACAAGAAGGAGCTGACTGAGCTCGCCATCGTCAGCGAGCGAGCGGTTGGGGTCAACTCTGGAGGGTAAGTTCTCTCTCTCTCTCTCGTGAACAATGAACAATGGCCCCCCGGTTTGCCCCGTTGAGCTGCCTGCCTCCCATGTTCCCGTAATTTGGTAACCATCGTCGATGATTTTCCTCGCAGCAAGTGGGCACTTCGTATCTTACCGAGCATCATGCAACTACTTCCTACATACATACACTTACACTTACATACATACTTACATACTTGTCCTTTAACTCAAACCCACATCTCCCCCCCCCTCCCCTTTCACTCCCTCCCCCCCCATTGCCCCCCCTGGCCCTACCGCATAAACTCTCTCGTACAGATCCTCGCTGTAAATCGTACAATGCTGACAATCATCACCGCCACAGCATGGATCAATCTGCATCAGTCTTCTCGGAGCAAGGGTCCGCCACATTCGTGTCCTTCACCCCCGGCTTGTCTGCCCGGCCGGTCAAGTTCCCCCCAACCAGGCCCGAGCTGTGCTTCGTTATCGCGCAATCCTTTGTCACGTCCAATAAACATGTCACAGGACCCATCCACTACAACCTTCGTGTTGTCGAGGTCAGCTTTGCGGCTGCTTACCTTCACGCGGTGCTCAACCCACCCGGTACGCAGCTGCCAGAAGACGCAGGTCCTCTCGGCATTAGTCTCCAGGGATTCCACGACACCTTCTTCTACCACAACGGCGGGTCAGACTATGCCGCTGCTAAGAGCCTGACTAAGGAGGAGGAGCTGCGCAGGCTCGTCGAGGTGACCAAGGAGACGCTGACCCGGGAGGACGGCTACACGCGGGAGGAAATCGCCGCCGTCCTCCAGATGTCCGTGCCGGAGCTAGAGCAGCGCTTCATGGCCAGATTCCCCGTCCGCGCCGACCGGTTCAAGCTCAGGCAGCGAGCCCTGCACGTCTTCACCGAGGCGCTGCGAGTCCTCGAGTTCCTGACGCTGCTCGAGCGTCCCTTGCACACGGGGGCCACCGACACGACTCAGTTCAACCAGGAGCTCGGACGCCTCATGAACGAGACGCAGGACTCGTGCAGGGACCTGTACGAGTGCAGCTGCCCAGAGCTCGACGACATATGTCGCATCTCACGTGGCGCCGGGGCTTATAGCAGCAGGCTGACGGGAGCCGGGTGGGGAGGATGCAGCGTCCACCTCGTGCCGGCCGACAAGGTGCAGGCCGTCAAGGAGGCGCTGGAGCAGCAGTACTATGCCAAGATGGACCTGACTGACGAGCAGAAGGAGCAGGCTGTCGTGGTGAGCCGGCCCGCTCGAGGGAGCGCCGTCTATATAGTCGAGGGAGGCCAGATAAGGTGATGGCCGGCGAAAAGGAGAACAAAAAGGAAATAAAAGAAAAAAGTAATGTGACGAGTTTGCAATGCGAGGCTGCGTCTCCCCCTTCCTCTTTCCCCCCTCCCGTCATCTCTTTATTCTTTGCCTGTTGTATTTGGATAGATGATAGCCCGCTTTTTTTTTTTTCTATTTTCAATCTTCTTCTCTCTCTTCTTCCCTCCCCATGTATTACAGGGAAGAGATGGGAACCCGGGATGGACACTTGAAAAATTTGGATGAAAAAGAAATAATAAAATACACCCCCGTTACATTTCAACTTACTCGTACATACATCTATGTGGAGCAAAAGACAAGAATTTGGAATACCTTCCTCATCTTTGATTTACGGTCAGGTCTACAGCTGCAAGTCAATATGACAGACAAGCTCCTTCATCTTGCATGACGAAAACCCGGTGAGTGAGAAGTCATCATCTATGGAGTAACAAATCCCTGTGAACTCACTTCACAGGCCGGTAGTTGTCTCACTGAGACACGGCAGAGAGGAGACAGAGAGTGCTCAGCAAAGAAACTAGTTTACCCTTACCCATGGATGGGATTAACCCGGCTTCTTTGCTGATTCGCCTTTCCCGTTGCACATCCCCAAAAAAGCCTAATTCCTCTCCACGGGCGAAAGGAAAATCATCAATGGTCCCTTTTGTTTCGTATAGCCTTTTTGCAACCAGCTCCTTCGGACAGAGTTGCCAAAACAAACAAGAACAAGCGTCTTACATTTCCCTTCAATTTCATCCGGCCGAGTGATTTTCAAAAAAAGGCCCGTCCTTTTCTGATGATCACTTTTTTTTTTTTTTTTTCTCACACCCCCATGTCCCCCACGCCATTAAAAAAAAAAATATGAAAAATGAATGAAACCGGGCTGATGAGAATCCAAAGGGGGGTGTGTGAAAGGTGTGAAAATGGGAACGGACGATTGGCCGCCTGACGTCCCCCACACCCAAAAAGTCTATCTCATAGCCAAGCTTTTCTGGGAGGTTGGAAAAAGGGAAAAGGGTAAAAAAAGCAAAGGGAAGGGAGCACACTGTCGGTAGCCAATAGCATTGAGAAGAAAATGAGCCCACGTCCGCTTTCTGTCTCTGAAGTCTTGGCGTGAGAGCGAAGACGCCTCGTGAGGATGCCGAGATTACAACTGCCGAAAGGTCGCAAGCGTCGGCAAAAAGACGCAGTACTGAGAGAATGAGACAAACCACAGACAAAAAAAAGAAAGGAAAATAGAGAGAGGGAAACAGGTACCTCGGATGGAGCACGGCCACAAGTTTGAAGCTTACACGGCGGAGAACACTTTTGGGTTCCTATCATCAACCATCTCCTCTCATTTCTACTATTGCTCGTCATCCGGCTCCTTAGGCCGTCTTGTGGCGTGATTCCACAAATGACAGACTCGTGGCCAGCCACCAAATTAGTAAACCTCGCCAGCACTACGGAACATAGTCCGGTAATGAGAAGGCGTTCCTGGGAGCAAATCAGTTAATCCGTGGCAACTAACTGCCGGTGCTGCCAATGCTGCCAATGAGAATGTCAGGTTTGCCCATTGGAGGAATATCTTGAATTCGGATGAACAACCCGTCTGGGCTACGCACTCGGAGACGCCTCGACAGTCATTTTCTACCAAATTTGACGGCTCTCTCTCACAGGAATCCTCTCGTCAAGGGCCAGATGACTTGTCGATGCAAGACAAGCCAACAGGGATACAGGAATAGCGCAGTGTCACCAGCGCCGAAGGGGTGGGGATGGGCGAGGCAGCAGAAACCGCCTGCTAGCTGCTGTACCTCCATGTTATTAGACATACTCCATATGACGCCCTGATTGCCGGGTATGGCCCGGAGATGGCCAACGAAAAAGGCCAACGAAACAGGGTAAGATATTAGTAGGGAAAAGACTTAGCAGGTAATAGGTCAGTTTTTTTCCCCTTCTCGAGGCATAGGGGGCGTGTACCTTGGAAACAATCGTTATCTGGCCGTCTTTCCCGTTTCGACTAATGACTGTTTGGGCTAACCATTTGTCAAAGGAGGGTGAGAACCTGTAAGGCTTAGCAGGCTCATTAGAGGATTCCAACTTCCGTCACTGGGCCGAAATGGTTTTGCCGCTTGTTTAGCGGACCTTGTGGTCGGTAATGCGGAGGATGTTCAAGTAGCACCATCCAGTGTGTTGGGAAAAGTAGGGAGTGGGAAGCGGCCGGTATGGAGAAGAGCAATCACTAACAATGGCGTCTCTCTTCCTGTATTGGGTTACGGTAAGCTAGCTGTATCAGGTAACCAGGTTGCTTCCTTCATACCTGTACAGTAGTCTGTAGACCTGAATCAAGAAGGGACCATTATGGTAAAGGTGAGCGAGCTGAATGATCGCTATACTTGGACATGAATCGATCATCCTTGAGCAGCTGTGCAACATGGGCTGGGATGATGATTCAACTGCCGGCCCAAGTTGTAGTAGAACCTCAACGTCGTTGTTCACCACACCAGATGCAGGCTGTAGTGTCTGTGCAACATCTCCAGCCGCCGAGCAGCGCCGAGTGCCGGCGGCGGTGGTTTCCTGATTTGCCCGTCGTGGGCTTGCCATTCCTCTTGTTCGGAAAACGGCAGTCATCGCATTAAACATTAACAAGACGCCCCGGGGCGTACTAGTTAGTATGCGACGGTTGTCTCGCGTGTCTCGCGTGTCTCTCTTGTTCCTCCGTTCTCCATACTCCATACCGTATGTTACTAAACGGTTCTGGGGCAGCAGATCCAAACGACAAAACGACAAAACCAAGACGCCAGGCTGTCGCTCGCAAATAGCTTACTCTTCATCGGCTCGCCCGTCAACGGCGGCAGAAGGAAGTCAGACTCGCATTTATGGGGGACAACCTCCTTTCATCTCAGACGAGGGTTCGCCAGTGGTGTCTCGTATCATTGGCCCGCCTAGTTCCCAATCGGAAGGGAGCGTATTCCAGATCCGTCAGTGCTCCGGAGACGAGACAAGCAGTCCCTGTCATCCACACTAACACCAAGCAATCGTGTATGGCATCTACTAGATGCACATTTAGTCCATATACTCGTAGTCTTTTCCTCTCCAGGCCAGCAGATGCTCTTGCTCCCCGTATCATGCGGCGTGAGTGTTTCACTTCCTCATCTTAGTCGTCTACACAGCCGTATGTCAGAGTCAGTGCGTAAATGAGGCGTCGTCTGCACATTTGACCAAAATAACCTGAGCTGTATGTTATACATGCTAGACCAAAGTAGAAGCCGGACACCCTGTTGCCCTTGATCGATGAGGATCAATAGGCTGTTGGCTAGCAGTCGTCCCGAATGTCATCAAGCTACCCCCTTATCCCAAAAATAGAACAGACATGGCAAACATGTCGACGCTTGCGCCCTCCCGGCAAGGCTACCACAAATTCAAGGCGCCATTCACGGAACGGAGAAATTCTCAGACCAGAGTGACGGGCCAGAGTGACGCAAGGATTGTAGAGGCGCCAAGTGGGCAGTAGCTGCATGATACTACGAGTTACTATGTACAGCACTCGTATGTTATGTGATTGCAGCATGAATGCTCGTACTGCTCGTACCGTAGTACTTGCGATGCTGGAATGTCGCAGTGTTGGCATGAGAAAGCAGCATCCTGGGATCAGAGTAACATCACATCACCGGGCGTAGAACCGTCCTATTCGTCTTGATAACACACTTTCATCCTATGCCTCATGTTCGCCCGCTGAGTATGTACAAGACGAACGCCGTCCTTAGCGGATGTACAAGATGCCGAGGCAGCTACTGCTGTATGTAAGATTTGGTGAGGTTGGCTAGCATCTGCCACGTTGTGGTAAAGTGGGCTAATTATGCCCTCGTCGTCTTCCCTGGGCATTCAGCGCCATGGGACGGACTAAAACAACATCCGGCCGGTGCGGACTAATGTGGATAAACGGTGATTTCATCAGTAAGGAGCTCGTTAGCGCCGAAGCGATGATCATCTCGAGCCCAGGTTGCCAGGCACCTACACAAAGGCACCTGAGTAGTGCAGAACGTGCCAGGAGAGCTAGCAGTGGTACGGAGTAGTCCTGGTCGTCCTGGCTGTTTCGTGGGATTAGAAATGCTTATGATTACGGAAGTTTTCCGTGCCTAGCACTGCTTCCAGTAGTCTCATCGAAGCAAGTTTAGTCGATCGCTTCTGGCGCAAGGATCTGATAATTATTAGCTCTAGTGTTGGCAACCTGAGGCACAGGTCGGGGTAAGAGACACAAGTTGGGGTCAGTTGCAAAGCACCCCGAGTGGTGAGTGGTGCCGGATGTCATGCAAAGGGCCAAGCTTTTCGACGATTTGCCGATGGCAGCTTTTGCGGGTAGCATGCCAGGTAGCACTACTAGTAGTACTTGCATGTCCGGGCATGTCTAGGCATGGTTATGTTCATGCTAACACACTCTGATCGAAGTAAGGTAGCACTGCAGATAGGGAGGGCAAAGATGCGCTTTTTGCGGAGGTGGCAGTTATTGCCCATTCGCACAGAGCAGAGCATTGCCAGGTGGTGACCAAAGCTCCGCCCTATGAGTGGACCTGGCTGCCACTTGAAGATGATGAGGATGGAGACTCAGGTCTTAAGCGATCTGACTGGGCTTGAACCCCTGTCAACTGGCGTTTGTCCCTATTTGCCAGAGTCAGTCAGTCTGGAACACTAATCAAAAGAGAGCGTTTGCTAATACTGCTAAATGCTCCAGACTACTGCCAGCAGCAGCTGTAGCAGCGGCAGCGGCAACGGCAGAACGGCACCCGCACTGCAGATGTAAAGATCAACCCGCGTAAACGAGTCCAGCTATTTCGGTGTCCCTCTTCCGGAGGAGGTGCTCAGATGATTTACATGCCAAGTTTCTGCTCTGATATCCTCCGAAGAATGGGAGGCCATCCATCCAAATGCCTTTGGCAGCACATGAATACCCTCCATCATATCGTTAGTGCAGAGTAGGTGCTTACTCGTCCGGGACCATGATTTGCGGACAGCGTTGCGTACGAGTAATGAACAGGTTCGGGATCTGGAATCAGACGCGGATCCATAGTCGAGAAGGCTGCCTAGCGGCGCTTGGGCGAATGTCGGATTACCATGGCACTGTAAACGGACTTTATCCTCAGGACTTTAATCGATTCAGGTCAGCAGCCATGAGGGGCTAAGGTGCAAGTCCGAGGGGACTGGCCGGAGATGGACATCTTTCAACCAACAGAGCTCCGTCCTCGTGTACCCTACACCATATTGGCAGGTGGCTGAACATATAGCAACTCAAGCTTGCTCGACGAGTGGTGATGATTACAATAGCAATGCCGAGAAAGGGGTTAGCATGGTAAAGGCCGCCTTGCTGGACCCATTGAGCGCTGAGAAATGGTATTCTAATCAGGCCAGAAGATCATGATTTGATTTTCTCGGGCTCGTCAGGGTCTTTTTGTTGGCTGACGGGAAGCCCGGGACGATCGTTAGCCAGGGGGGTGAAACTCGCTCAGTGGTGGTTTTTCTGTCTCCAGCGCTGTATCATCACTGCTACCACCACCATTGCATTCGATTGAAGAAGAAAGGGAAAACGGTAAAGGGTAAACGGGACGATGGAAGCATGAAGAAGAGGCGGGGAATTCTAGGTAGGGGCAAAGGCTGAAAGTACGAGGTACGAAGTCGATCATTGGCCTGCTGGTGATTCCTTCCGTGTTCCATTTCCCGACGAAACAGTCGGTGCTTGTATTATTCCGAGAGCCTTTAAGGTTGGTCTGACGAGTATATTTGGATTAATTTGACTCCATTTCTTGATCCCGAGCTGTGACCGATCATGTCGCATTGCTTCGCATTGTATTGCTGCCCATCTCATCGCATCTCATATCATGTCATGCAATTGTGTGGTCGTTGGTTGCCCAACCACTGAAGTGCGCGTCCGTCGCATCGCCATCGCACCGCACCGCAACGCACCACATCACCGCCGTTTCTGACGCATCCGCCGTTTTGCCATTTACTCGGCTGGCATCCATGCTGCTGCTCCCAACGATCGCCGCAATTTCGGAAGCTAGATCTTGTTTTCGCACCTCTGCTCTAGCCATGGAGTCCGAGTGCTACCTGATGACTAAAGGGCGGAATGTTTTTTTGTTTCCATCCTCCATGTCAACGGTAACGTCAACGTCAACGTCAACGTTAACCCCGAGCCGATGGTTAGCAACTTGAGCCGGCCAATGGCACTCGATACCTGCACGGCGGTTTGCACGCCATGTCTCGCAGGCGGATGTCACTGCGCCGGAAACCGTTATATCCGCACTGCCCGCGACCCCTAGTCAGTTGCTTGGACGAGTACGGCATACTATGCGAACTAAGGTAGGTAGCTGGGAAATCCATGGCACTATTGCGTCCGGATACATACAAAGACGAGCGAGACAAAGCGTTGGCCGGGCTCAAGTTAGCTTTTGGGGGATGCGACGGCCTCAGCCGACTCAGAATCGTTTGGGCTCGTCGTCAATGCACTCGAGCGCTTGCTTCAGCTACCGTACGGCAGATATTACGGAGTACAGAATATCACATTCCTACTGGTACTTTGTGCCCTTGCCGCGCGGGCAATTGTACGATACAGGATAGGTACGCTCTCCACCAAACACCTCCGAGGGCCCTGCTCGTGCAACGGAGTGGTAGTCTCATCGGTAATGGAGTAACGAGGGGTCTGATATCCTAGAAAGGGGGGAGGGGCCGTCGTCGTGTTTGCAACGCGCAGCCTTACGGTTAGCTCTCCAATGACACATTACTTGCAGGAGAGATTGCTAGTCCAAGTACGGAGCTTCCTGCTACTGTATTTGCAAGCAAGCAGGGCTCAAGGGATTGCCACACGCCCGTCTTGGCCACAGGAGATTGCCAGGATTTTCTAACCCGAGTTCGTCCGCCCGGCTGTCGCTACTTGTCGACTGGGTCGGCATCTCTTCGTTCTTGACTCGGATATCAAGTCTTCTTAGCTGAGTGTCAATGCGGTCGTTCATGCACGTCCAATTACATCTTCTCAAAGCGTTACCGACGAACAGGTAAATGACTCTTCAACCCCCCTCATATCCGCAACAATCTCCGGCGGTAAGCCATGCCGAAGACATGGCTGACACGATCCGGAGAGTGCATCACCACCATCACCACCATTTCCCTGCATACATTTGTTTCATGAGGCTTGATCATCTCGACACTAATACGGGATACCGACACTCCGGACGCTTTATCTCCTACCGAGGTATTCGGGAAGCGTGTGTAAACTGCGATTGAGAGGGGCGAAAGGTGAGGAGATCGGTCAGGCCACTGAGATATCTGAGCAATACGCTTGATACGCAGCCAATTTGGCGTATCTGACATGCACAAAGTTATAGCGTTGGCTTTGCCATGATAACTTCACATTGAAAGCCACGAGTCTCTCTCTGCAGATGAGTAATGCCATCTCGCAATGGGTTCTTTTGTCTCGCCAGACGCTTTAGCCAGGGAAAAGAAAAGGGGGGGAGGGGTGGCTATCGAGAGGTCCCTGCGATTCCCAAATCACATCGCAATCTGGTCCCGAGAGCACGGCCCCTCCGCCCTGTCGTTCACTAATGCTCCTGGGATATCCCAGTCGCTACTCAGCCCTGCTGTCGGGTCGTGTGAGAAGGTGTGCGTGGAGGGAATGCGGGAATGCTTCTTAGGCCGCACGCCGACCCTACCAGGGTGGAGAGGACATGAGTTACCGTACCTCGAGGACCGGGGCATTTGTACAGTACTCCGCACAACTACGGCTGACTGCGGATACTTGGCGCCTCATTAAGTCCTCTTTATTCTCACACAAAGTCGCAATACTCGGTCCTTTTTCCTGTAGCTCTGCCCTACAGCTGCGTGGAGAAGACTGACGTTGTGGCGCTCAATTTCACTCGAACACTGGCATGGCATATTTCCGTTACCCGTTTGGCAATTGCTCGTCTAGGTAATTCACATCTCGTTTAGCCGCGCTGTTGCCCATTTATTCTGCTGCCTACGAAAGTTCTTGGACTAATAATTGCATCTCCACAGATTGCTGTGGCTGACAACGACCTGCATCTGGCATTTGAGGAAGTCGGGCATAAAATTTATCCGTCTCTTGGTTCTTCCGTGTTGATGTGATGGAACAAGGAGGCAGTCGGTGTCTCTTCACGAGCAGCTCAAGTGATTTCTGCTTGGCACTGACCTGACGTTGCATTGGAGCTTCTGCCCAACCCTCTGAGCCCAATGCTTTGATCAAACGGAAATGATGCAAGCTTACGATGTATTGAATAATTTGCAATGCAAAGGAAAGAGATCGCACGACCACTAACAACATGGGGTGACTGAGCCTGCTTCTCCCTCGTCCTTCTCAATGAGGCCGTGCTGCATACGGCGCCTGCTACTTCCCAACTCGTCCCCCATGTATGGGGATAATGGGGATATGGACAGCCTGCTTCTGGCTTCCAAAGAACTGCATCTTCTTCTTGATGATCCAATCCAGTCCCTGGTCTCTTGAGTGGAACCTGCGGTTCCAGTCCGCTGGCTTGGTGACCACTACCCGGCCTTGTATCTGGATCCATCGATGGTGCATGGACAAGCCACTCGACCCATCCGTCTCTCATGCCGCACGCCCTCTTAACCTGCTCACTCATCAAGTGGCTCAAGCATGGATTGCCTTGTGGGTGGAACCTCCGAACCGTCGGTACGGTAGCAGGCCGTCATGTTAGTAGCCCTCTACTGGCGCTATCACCACACCCTACATACAAGTCCCAAGTTGCTTGCACCACGGAAAGACGTGCAGCCATAGGCGAGATAAAGGGGACTAAGTACAATCAGCATCAGAAACCACTAAGGAGGAAGTGGCTAGTATGTCTCTGCATGCCGCGAAACTTAGTACTCCCTTGACATGGAGAAGGGTGAAGAACGTACCCATTCGACTTATCCCTAGAGCAGCAAGCATGAGCGATATCCGCCGCTGCCAGCTGTGGCCCGGTGGGAATCTTGCCGTCCATTGTCTCGTCGAAAACCGTTCCATCGTGTCTGTTCTGATTCTCTCACACCCCCCCAGCTTCCATTAGCGTCGTACGCATGTGCTCCCTCGTGCTGTCAGTTACTCGGACTAGCACTTCGGCTCGTCTGGTTTCCAAGGAAGAATGCGCACCCATTGGGGGGCGTTTGCCTTGAGGCCGCTCGGCGACGCTCCGTGCATGCTGCTACTGCTGCTATCTCATCGCCATCTAGCCGGGTGGAATCGAATGCCTTGTGTTTCTGCGTGGCATTGATTTTCGTCCTTGTTCCTGCTTGCACGCCCGCACTAGAGGAGGTGCCGTGTCGACCGAGGCGGAGCCCTCCCTCAGATCACGACTCCATAAAGACAGACGCCTCCGGCGCATCTTAATTCTTTAACCGACTGTTTCTTCCTGCTGCCGCAAAACAAGCTCCAAGACCTTTTCTAACAACTCAAAATCGCGATCGTCATACTCCGTACTCAGTGCTTGTTCGCATCGTCTGACAAAACGGAAGCTAGACCGCGGGCCTACACGAACGCCTCGGTCAGCACGTGTTGAGCGATTCCCTCCCATCGCCAACCGGCATCCCACTTAATTCTCACCATACCCTGCCCGCCTCCTCTCACGAGTATATGGATCTCTTCTCCGCGTCCTGAACTCTCTTGGATACTGCTACTACTTATATCTGACAACTTCCTCACCGCCTTGACATCGTGTTTTCGACCTTTGTGTATAATACCCGATCGTGATAACGTGCAACGACCTCCCCCCCACACGTCTCTCGATATACCCACTGCCTGCTTTATCTCTTGTTCTCTCTTTTCTTCTTGACCTTTGAGCTCAACGTCGCACATCAAATCATTACGTGGCTTGGCATCAAGAACTCTCTACTACTCTATTTCAACTCTCAAGCATATTCACCCCTCTACCGTATATGGTCTTGGGATAGCCAATCCTTTCTGCTTGACTGGTTTTACAACAAGACATGGCACAGGGACTTTGGCCGGATCAGGAGGGCATGTCGCCCGAACTCAACCTACCCCAGCAAGAGCGGGTCGATCGCCAGATGATTCGACACCTGCTTGGTAAATACTCACGAGAGGAACTGGGAAGGTTGCTACAAGAAGAAGGCCGCTTATCACCATCTTCATCATGTAAGTCGTTGCTATGCCCTTGTTAGTCGACAGGCACGACTTTATTGTGTTGTTGTAGCTGGAGATTCTGTATTGGTGCCTCTAACACGTCTACTTTCTTTCCACAGATGAGGAAAGATCCTTTATGCTCTCAAGTAGCGGAAGCTCGCACGAAGACTCGTCAAATATGTTCGACTCAACGAGCAGCAACAACGCATTTTCAGATACATCGTCTACATGCGGCAGCGTCACCTCCAACGTTTCACCTCGAGCGAGCACCAGCCGCAAGCGCCATGCAAGTCCGTCGACGACTCGAGCCAGTATAGCCCTTACCGATGAATCGTCCTGGGATGCCGAGGACACCACACCTACGACAGCAGCTCCCAAGCAAAAGGGCTCCTTCACCTGCGGATTCTGTCTCGAAGAGGGCATCCAGAAGACATGTACACGCAAGAATGACTTGAAGCGCCACATGGAAGATTTCCATCACACAAACGCACAATGGTTCTGCCGGCATCGAGGCTGCCAGATGGTTTTTGATTGGCAAACGGCCTACAAGGCTCACCTCAAGAACTCCCATGGCGGATCGAGAATGAACCTGGATGACGCCAAGGTTCCGCTGTGTCCCCAGACGGTGTTCGCGTGCGGTTTTGAGAACTGCCTTCAGGTTTTCGAGGCGCCAAGCGACGCTCATGCCGGACCTACCTTCAAGGAGTACGTGAGCCATGTTGTCAAGCACTTTGACGAGGGCGCAAGCAGTGGCCAGTGGAGTTACTCGGCGAGAATGCGTAACCTGCTCCGTCAATCTAGCGTCTTGAGCACTTGGTCACAATCATTATGGCCAGACGCAGACCCAAGTCGCTTACGGTGGAATTCCCAAACTAGCAGTGTTTTGAGAAAGCGCCTAGAAACTAGACATCTTGGCGACCTGCAGTTCCTCGTCCAATACGCTATTGCCCTTGGCTCAAGCCCCAATGGCGCCATTCAGAACTTCCGCGCGGACTTTGTGACTCCCATCCGCAGCGAGTGCAGGATGGCGATCCACGGCCACAACAGGGCAGGTGTTCCGGCAGCAACAACCACTCCGGAACCAGATCACATGGTTCAGTACGGCATGTCGAATGCCGCCAATCCAGCCATGGTCGCATATTACCAGCGACAGGCCTACATGCCTCAGCCGGCACAGCCGCAGATGCACTCATCAGGATACACCTTTCACAATGCGCCTCCCTCTCCGGGTTACGACGCCCACCAAGCTTTGCAACAACAACAACAGCAGCAGCAACAGCAGCAGCAGCATTCACAGTACATGGGCATGTCCGACACCCCGATGGTTGGGACTGATTACGTACCACATGCGAATGGCAGTCTCCAGACTATGCCCGCTGCTTATGGCGCCAATGGCATGCATAGTCCCGCACCCACGGATATTTGCGGTACCGCAAGTCCGGGCTCGAATATGGAACAGCGGGCTAATAGCTACGCATACAACTCTTCTCCATATGCATACTAAATCACGAGGGTAGCAGCACCTCGTACCACAGACTACTTAGAGTTACATACAACAAGACCAATGTGACCACTCTTCCCTAGTGGTTGCTGGCCTCGCGGCATAGCAGATCGAACATACATTTTTTGTTTTGATACGAAACACACATGTGCCCCGAAGATACCGGCACGGACGGATATGCATATATTACTATAACACCGGTTCGGGCAGGGTTGGGGAGGTTTTTTACTCAGAGCTCCTGGGGGGCCGGAGGGTAGACGATGACACAATAACGGCCGCCATGCACACATTTTCTTTTTTTACTCTTTTCGTTCTGGTTCATCTATTTTACTTTCTCATCTCTTCTAATTCTCTGTCCCTCTTTTTTTATACCCTCATCAGCACGCATTTACTTGAGCAGTAAGATTGATTTCGAAGCGGAAGAGCGACGATCACTGCACTTACACATTATGACCATTTCTTTTTTTTCCTTCTCTCTTTGCTCCAATATACACGAGAGAGCGGCGGGGTTCTTTTCCTTTGTTCTGGGACTGGCACACGACTATGGGATGCGGTATAGGTCAAGGGGATTATTTGCAACTACAGTACGGGGTGGGCGAATTTACGGGGCAACGTTTTTCTTTTTCTTTTTCTCTATGTCTTGGTCTTGGCTTTATTCATTTGGGAAAGTGTTTCAACGGAATGAATCATTATTTTTGCGGGAGTAGGAGCAACAAAAATGGATTACTGTGTGCAAGATTTACCTAGACCAAAGATGTGTGGACCTTTATTAGACGAGTGGTTTATTCCATCGTGGATGCAGCAATGCACGTATCAATACCCCCTCCTCCCTCTTTGTATCAGTTGTTGCTACAGTACGGCGTTTAGGTAATGTGACGCATCAAGTTTGTATTTTTTGGCCAACAGCGCAGCGCACTGCAGCAAATACAGAGTGATGAAATGATAGATAATCCCATCAGGAAAGTAGAAAAAACCCGCCGAGGGAACGGAATTTCCCGACGAATCGAGGTATGTAATCTTAGAAAGGACGGGTGTGATGACGGGCATTAGATTTCCTGCGAGTGTTTCGCTCGGACTGGGGCATCGGGGTAGTTGGAGAAGCAACTAAAAAGTTTGTTTTATACTGCTGCCTGTTTTTTTTCCATCATGTAATCCATAGTTTTCCTTTTTTTTGTCTGTCTTTTGTCTTTTGCTTGTTCCCTGTCACAGGGGGAGGGAGGGGGTATCTCTGCTTACTTGCTTTACTGTATGATTTCTCTTGTTCTCTTTGTCGTCTGCATGCGGTTTAGGTGGGCCTCCGTCATCCTCTGGAAAATGTGATGGATGACTTTTTTCTGCTTGTTCGTGTTGTTGCAAGCGCGTATGTAATGTCATGGCGTGCCGTAATTATTGCTTGATCAAGAGCAGCAGATCCTTGGGGGGAAGGCAAGCCGAGAGACAACAGACATAACAGCATAGACAAGGGGGGCTGTTCACACAAGCTGAGCCACTAAAGCAACGACAAGTTTTACTGTATACGTGTAAATGCGAGGTGAGCTTTTCCTTTCCTTTCCCCCCATGTACACATCATCAATCAACCTGGGTGCTCATCATTTTTCACTGTTGGGTCTTTCTTTGCTTTTGTTGTTGTGTCTTGATCTTTTGTTCAATGCTACGACGTGCTTTTCTTGGCGGATTGTGTACCCTGTAAGAGCAGAGCGGTAAAACTGAATCGGGACATCTTTTGGTCATACATGTTTATTTCATCACCATTATCCGTTTTTGCGAGGGCTTTTAAGCGGCTCTGCGCATCATTTTCCGTTTTATCTCGGGAAGGATTTTGCGGGTGTGGATATTGGGTTCAGTTTTTTTTCCTTTTGTGATCCCATCAGATTCGGGGCTGGGTCTTGTCACTTGTGAAAAAAGGGTGAGGCCGGCACATCTTACGGGTAGCATGGGGAGGAGCCCAAGCCTGCATAAAATATCTGCAAGGCGCAGAAAAGTACAAGCCCTATGAAAATCAGACAATCACAGAGAGCGACAGACAGAGAGACAGAGGGAAAAGGGAAAAAAGTTACAGATATCAAAAGGATGAAGGAGACGTGGGGGGAAAAAAAAAGCAAGAGGGTGGTATTGGGGGAACGGATGGGCAAGTGAGAAGTTTAGCACAAGGGGGTGTGCGGAAGGTGTTTGGATGGGGGGAGGAAGAGAGGGAGGAGGGGAATATGCTTTTCTTCCATCTGCTGGAAACTTGTTTGCTCGACTTGTTCTGCTGGTATGTGTTGATCCTGCTGTTGCATGATTATCTGCTGATGAATAATGATTGATCATATTTGAGCGTGACGGCCGTTGCATGTGCCGGAAAAAGGGTGGTATTAGGGTTAGGAAGAGGTGGTAGTGGCAAGTAGCAATAAAGCGAATTCGGAGTAACAGCACGTATTTGTCCAAGTGAGATGGAAAGACGGCATTACGAGTTATGAGAGAGAGAAGGGAAATGATAGTTGAGAGTGAAGGTCTTACAGCGCTTCCGAGGACGAACTCGACAGGAGACGGAAACAGTGACAGAAGGGCAGAGATTGGCACCCGGTCGGCCGATGTTTGATTGGTTTCCTTGGGGGGTGCGTGAGCAGGTACCGATTGCCCGGATGCTGACTTGCGTGCATTAATAGAGCGCTGATTTATCTCTGGTTGTTCTTTTTTTGGGAGAGGGCATGGGAGAGAGAGTGGCATATCTCGGCAAGGGGAAGAGTCAGCGAGAAGGGGGTTGATGATTATTTCGCTGGCTGTTCTACATTTACAGTTAGAACGGGCAATTATAAAGAGAGATACTGGCGAGCGGCCCCTACGGCAATGGGACAAAAAACTAACTGCCATCATTGTCCAAACTACTAGTGGTGAAACTAAATCCAGCACTACAGACAGCACTGACAAGTAGGTATTTAGCATCAATTAACACAACTGAGGGGGGCGTGCGACGATGAGAAACAGAGCAACAATCAGAAAAGAAAGAAAAAAGCCCGCGGCGGGCCTAAGTAAAAGTGGCGGAGCCGTCTCCGAAGAAAGTCGCCCATGGGGCCGACAGGGCTGGCGGGAGCGGATGGATAACGCTCTAGAGTCGGTCGGGTCTGGGTCTGGGGGGATGGATGGCTGATGATTTTCCCTCTTTTTTCGTTTGGGGCAAGTCTTTCGAATTTGGAATCCCCGGGAAACAAGGCACCGCCATGGGAGGTGAGAAGAGAAAAAAAGGCTGGGCTGGCGGGGGGGAAGTGCGTAAGCACTTCATTACGGACAAATTAATGCTTTTCTTTCGCCCCGTGTAGGTAGAAGGCGCGGCTAAAGGCGGCCGGGCCCTGTTTTAAATATGATATGTATTGATATTCATGTAGACGAGCATTGTCCCAGTCCACGTGCAGGATGAGGAAATGAAGCAACTTTGAGCGAGCGAGTTTTCCGATGAAGCCAATGGCCAATGGAATGGATATCCGATGCCTAGAAAGCTGATGCAGCGGCGAGGCCGTATGACAAAAGCTACAATCGTTCCCCCGACAAAGAGCTGCTAACTAACAGCAGATGCCAGTAGCAAGTACGGAGTAGCAAGCTCCAGATGCATTAAAAGGGTGGGAGGAGAAACGGAGACGGACTGCCGTCTCCTTTGGCTCACAAGGTCCGTCCGGCGGCAAGTTTTTCTTCTTTTCTTTTTGACAGACAGCCTGTGTGACACGTTGGCGACAAACAAGACGAGATCCGCGGCAATGGGGTACCACAGGGCAAGCCGCTCAGCTGACTGGCGTCCGAGACGTGCCATGGGTCCCCCCCGGGGGTGTGTGTGTCCGTGTTGCCAAAATTGGCGTCAAGGAAAGAAAGTGGTAGGATTACAAAGCAATATAGTGGCCTAGACGAGTAAGTGTACGGAGAGAGGCATGATGGGTTGGTAGTGGACAGGTTGATCCATGCTAGATGGCTGCTTGGGAATGGACGCTTTACGATTAATGTTGTTGCCAACAGCCTAATCTGCTTGATGATAAGGCGAAGCCAAGAAGCGAGACGAAACGCCAATCGTTTGCCCGATGGCGCGCTAGATAGGGTAAATAGGACTTTAGGTTTGTGGCTGAAGGGTCTGGAATTCAACTGGATCACGGAAAGAAACAAGTTACTGGAGTTCTACATTATCAAGCAAGAGATCCGAGGTGAGGGAAGCGACGCTACTGGACGACTCTTGTCCCTGCTTCTTCTGTATAATACTCGTACGTACTGCGTATATCCATGGAGAGAGGTGACTGGTGTAGCATTTGGGGGTGGGCAGAAGGGGGCCAAATGTGTCAAGTAAACTAATCACCCTGCAGATAATGTCAAAGTGTGTGAGATGTGAGTGAGTGAGTAAATGTGTGTGTGTAGCTGTGATGCCGGTAATGAATCGTGTTTTGGTAGGGCAGACTTGTCAAAGAGCTGAGCGTCGGTAAACGGCCCATACTCGATGCCGCTCGGAGGGTTGGGCTGGGAGAAAACGTCCTCGTGCAACAATGCGCGGGAAGAAGATTTCTGGAATTGAAAAGAGAGCACAGCTCCGGGGCACCACGTGGCGGAGGCTGCTGGAAGGGTGGTGAAGAAAACGGACAGAGAGGCGCCTGTTGGAAGGAATCACGCCACGGCTTGTGGTTGGCAGGAAACAGGGTTGGCTGGTGTGGACGCCAATTCCCTCGGATTGGTCTGCCTCCATTCCCACGGCTGCCCTTCCATTATGATTGGGCGCTGCTTTGATCACTTGGTCGACGAGTTCTGGACTTTCGACCGGCAGCATCTAGAGGCGCTGGGTGGTGTGCTTGGGGGGTAAAGGGGTACAAGTTGGTGGTTGCATGTTGTTTGCTGAGAAGATGGCGAGTATAGCAGTAGCAGCACTCGTATGGATGTAGCAGTAGCAGTAGCAATGAGACTGACTGGTGGAAGAACCGGCCCTCGATGAACTGCTGCAGATCGTAAACGGTCCGTCCTGTGTGCACAAAGACGGGAATTGCTGTTTCTGGCCCTTTGGCCCGAATGTTGTTGGTTCCATCGACACAGCTGGGCCTAGATCTTCATTAGGGCTGAGATGAACTGAGGAGGAGTCAACCAAACCAGGCTATTGTCCGCAGGGCTATCCGTACATTAGCACCACTAACATCAGCTGCTTGCAGTAGCTGAGCTGCTCTGGATGCCAATGTTCTTGGCCTGCTGTAGCTGACCTGACTTGGATGGATCGTCTCATTGCCCACCCTCATCTCCGTGTTGCCACTGTTTCTTTCCCTTCCCTTGGGATTGCCGTCCCAGAGTCACGAAAAGAGGACGCGGTCCGTGGCTCATTACTCGTGAGCCTGCATCGAGTGGTGCTGCGGGCTTCAGAAAAGGCACTTGTGCGGAGAGCCAGGGGGTGTCGAGGATCCATGCTCAAAGATTGCCAGCCAGCGAGGGTTTTTCTTCGTCTCTCTCGCTCTTCTTTTTTCACCTCTTTCTTCCCTCACTGCCTGCTGCTATCAATTTTCACAAACGGAGTCGCGCGGCGTCAGCGACAAAGTGGGCAGAGGACCGTGCGCTGAGGGATCGATGCATCCCATGGAGCTGGAGCTGGTGCTGGCGATTGGGTTCTATGGTCATCATTACTCCGAAATCCGATCCCAACACACATCTCGTCACGCTGTCCTGGTCCGTATGGGGTAGCAGGTACGAGGGGGAATCGCCCAAATAGTGATGCCTGTACGGAGTCCCTGGGCTGGGCGATCACATGCTGTCAGTGGCTGTGAAGGTGCGATAAGAGACTGAGAGAGGCTGAGAGATGGGGAGACGGAGGGAGAAAGGATTGAGGAGAGGGGAATGTGCAAACAAAGGCACAGCAACTACAACAACGCAAAGCCACTGCAGACAAGCCAAGACAACCAGCGGCCGCACGCGGCAACCCACGACGGCGGCCTTCACCGAGAGATGAGCAGAATGGCCTCGGAGAGCGGCGTTCCCGGGTCTGCTTGGGCCAGCATCTGCTGCAAGACGCTGTCACTGCCTGGGTGAGGCTCGGTGAGGCATGGCTGACCACGGACGGGCTCGTGCGGCGCTGGGCTGGACCAGGTTCATGTTCTGAAGAGGCATCAATGCCGTGAGGTCCGTATCGTATCTGTGCTGTGCTGTGGCCGTAGTTGAAATAAGTGTGATAACCGTGATAGCCGCCACCAACATCCATCCATCCAAGGATTGCCATGACTGGCGACGATACGTGTACCCGTACTGACCTGGGGCCTTGCTTGACCTGGTCTGGCTTGACCTGGTCTTGCCTGGGATAATCCGTACTCCGTATAAACTACTCCGCTCTCTGTGAATCCGTATCACCGCCAGGATCTGCTCTCCCGTCTGCTCTCCACGTGCGCGTCCAGGCGTGTGGAGAGCACGACGATGGGGCTGGAAGGGAGCTGACATAAACGGAGCACAGCGCCGCTTTGGGCCTCAGCAGCTGATTTCTCTTTGCTCTGGTCGTTTGCCGTCGCTTGAGGCCCAGACCTTGGCGCCTGGGCTGTGATGCCGTATCGAGCAGGAGCCGGAGAGCAGGCAAATCCTACATGTTCGTACCAGCCCGGCCTGGGATGCGATGCCGAATGGAGGCGGTGGCGATTCGAGCAAGTGGTCTGGTCTGGCTGGTGTGGTGTTTGCAGGCTGCAGCCGCCTGGCCTGCGCGCATTAGTGGAGGCCATAATTGACATTAATAGCATCAAATCGCGAGCTGAAGGACGTTGGATTCGCCGTTTATATCTACTAGTGATGCCCGGAGCTGTGCGCACGCGAGACTTTTTTCAGGGCTACGGACGGAATACAGCTAGGTACGCAGCATGGATGGAGGGCTTGTGCGAGTTTTGCCGTTTCGCATGGATGGATTTCTCTGCTCTAGTCTTGCTTGATGCCGCTTAGCGATCTGCGGGTTTGCTACAGATAGGCATGGAGTACGGAGTAGAGACGTAATTGATCAATCAATACCGTGGAAGAAATGAGCAGGGCGGCATCTACGGAGTACCGCACAGAAACAAATCCCCTCACTTCCGGCAGCTCGTTCGTTTGCCTCAGCCTTGTGTTGCCCAGAGGTCTCACTTTGATTGCCGTCGGTCCACGTCCGGTATTTGTACCACCAACAGAGCAGTAGCTGATGTGATGGCAATGCATGGCCACGAGTAAGTTGTTATTTGATATTTCGCACCCTGGTCTGCTGGAGTCCACAGGCGTTATTGGCAACCAGCCAATCCCAGCGGCCCATCCTCATCGTCCCGTGTTTGGCGTCATCTTATCCTACCTTGTCCAGCCTGGTCTTGTTTGCGCCCAAAACGAGCCCGCTGCGTGATCGGCCTAGCCGGATTCCTGGCGGTTTGATAGCACTCTCTGCTCCCCACCTGCAATTTGTACCTGACCCGTATGTACTGTGTTGTGTTGTGTCAAACATCCAGTCTAGTACGAGAATGCGACAGTAAAGCACGAGCCGTGGCGACACACATGAATCTTCAACGTCTGCATGTGGTGTTTTTACCGGTATTTGGCGGCAGGCATTACAGGATTAGCGCATGTGCCCTGCAACTTGGTCGCTATCGGGAGCTGCGCTAGCTGGGTCGAGGTACCTTGGATGCGCGGCCAAGCGTCAGCACTTGCGCTGCTCGCACTCCAAGGTACATATTCTTAGGCTCTGGACTCGCTATTTTTTGTCCATGGCGGAGGATCTGCTGCTGTTATCTGGGCGACTTTGGCTGCAGGAATGGTGGCTGATGGCGCTGCTACTGCTGCTGCTCACCCAGTTGACCGAGCGAGGATAACGCATTGCATTGCATTGCATTGCATTGCATCGCATGACCCCTGGATGGATTGCTCTTGAATTTGATTGATTGATTGAATGGGTGAATGAATGAGTGATTGATTGACTCCAGCGCATTTGCTTTGATTGGGATGGAGCAGACAGACAGAGAACGCTCGTGTACCCTCTTTGTACCTGTAGACTCGCTTTGCCAGGCCCCGGGGCACGTGTTCGCCTGCCGCTGCCCTGAACCCTACAATGTTAGTACCTGCCAAGCGGCTGCGCTAGATACAATCCGCGCCCTCTCTTTGACTTTTTCTCTCTCTCCATCTTTTTCGCCTTCGCCCATCGGCGCCGACTGCAATCCGCCGACTTTTTTCTTTTTTAGCTGCAACACCCGCCATTATGCCATGCCACTGCTTTTCAATGGTCGCCATTCCATGACGCCTTGTCGCATTTGCCGCCCCCTCATTGGCCTGGCTGCCTAGCTGGACCCTCCCCGAATGCCTCGCTTTTCCCTTCTAGAAGGACGGCAGAAGCCATCTGCCAGGGGTCTCCCAGCCCGTTTCCCGCATCCATGGTAAGAAATGCAGGGGGCCCAAGAGCTGGTAATTTACGACGGTCAGGCGACGAGGCTGCTCGCCCTGTGGTTGGCCGTGGCCTCTCCGGATGGGGACGCCTTTCGACAGCGGACAGCCATTTTGGCCTTCGCCTGGTCCCACACCACCATCGAAAACTTTACACAAGTCGACAGACTTTTGCTCGCGGCTTTGGGCTAGCCAGAGCAAGCCAGAGGCAACTTGCGTTTCAGGACGGCATGGGGGCCGCTGTGAGAAATGACACTGTTCCTGAAACGGGGCTTGGTGCGTCTTGCTCGACAGGGGAATGCGTGACACCAATTCGTCGGATTCCACGACTCGACCGGGTTATGCCAGTCGCTGGGCGAGAAAGGATTTGGGATTAGGGATTAGGGGGGCGCAATTCATGCTCGCTCCCAAGAGTTAGGTCCCAGATGTGGCCCTACCACCCATTACCCATTTGTCCATCACCACAGCGCCCGACCCGGTGGGCTTGATTGCACACGCTGCCACTTTGCCTGGCCTTTTCTCCGACAGATCTTCTAGAAGCCTTCCCCGGCTTTTCGACCGTTTCTCCCCTCGCCATTTGTCTTTCTCCCCTTGCCTGGCCCTGGCGACTGCGTCCTTCCTCTCTGTCGCTCGTTCACCCAACCTCTGGCTTCTCATTCTCACTGAGAAGAAAAAAAATTACCGTCCTTTTCTTGATAGGCAGTGCCTTGGCGGACTTCTCAGCCCCAGCGACTCAACGTTGAGGCGACGCTAATATTAATCCAAAATCTGAAAATCGATTCCTTCGATTGAGGACGTACTGACCAGTTAATCACTCTCTTTGATCGTGACCGGCACGCGAGGGCGAAACTGAGCGGAATTTTCTGCAGCGCTCATACCGGCGCCGTACCGAGCGCTAGTTTTTTCCTTCCTCGCTTCCCTCTTGTTTATTTTCTCTCTTCCTGTCGACTTTTTTCTTATCGCCGCATTGCGCGGCGGTTATGCGAGTTTGACGACGAGCGGTGGTGTCGAGTTGCCATCTCCCCATTTGGTAAGGATAAGGACATCTAACCGCGTTGCTTTCCTGGACGTGTCCGTGGGTAGCGACTTTTCACTGTCGATACAACTTTTGTTGTGGGTGCGGCGGATAGCTGGCCGTCGATTTCCATCACAACGACGAAGCGCGGTTAATTGTCGAATCGCAACAATCTTGCATCATGTTTCCATACGGGGCCGCGCCTGAGGAGTCCACCGTGCGTCCATTGACGGAGGAGGACCAACAGCTGCTTCTCGGGCTCGTTCACAAATACGGAGCCTCGAGCCTATTATTTGCCTTGACTGGCTATGGTGAACCATGTAGGTCGTCAACTGTTTCAAACTCGTGATTGCTTTTGAGTTCTGACATGATTCAGCACGGGCATCTGCGTTTTCTGCAAATACCCTTCTCAGCAGTGCGAGCGCGTCTTCAGTAGCATGGACTAATTCAGAGGCTGCCTCGCAATGCCGGTCTGATGAGGCGTCTATTCACACCTCATACACGTGGCCTGACGTTCAGAATGACATGCCAGCTGTGCATGATGGAGAGGCTAACAAGATGACGACGAGTGAGCGGTCATGGCTCGACTCGCCTGTAGCAGTGCCATCCCCGATGATTCAGC